CCATGCAGTCATGCCAGCCACATGATCTTGGAGATGTCTATGGACAACACCGGCTCTTTGGCTTAGAACTGGAGATGAGCACACACACCCCAGAGTCGGACACGACTGGACTTAATGTCAGGGGGAAACTTTTATCTTTACTTTACATTGCTTATTGGTTTCATGTTAACTGAATAATACATCAAGCTGTACTATACTGTGCTATCCTTCTGATGCAAACTGTCTCATACTCTGACATCTCACTGCAGCAAACTGACTATATTCCTGTTGTAACTGACATGAACGGACTTCACTGACTTCTAACTCTAAACTGATTCAAACCAACTGACTTATGATTCAAACATATTCTTAAAAAAGGAGTCTCTGAACATTCTAAGATCTGGGTCACATGGTCTGTTGTCCATCCCACAACCTCTAACAACATAGAGTTAAGGAGAAAACTGCATCTCAAATCATACAATATTGTACATACAATATTGTAAACAATCACAATAACTAGTGTAGGAGGGTTGTAGAAGGTTGCTATTTCCAACAATTGAAAAAAGGCTTATTTTTAAGTGGGCCAGCATACGTAATCTAGCAGCAAGAAATCACCCCAGTATTTGTCTTTCCAGTCATCATTTGCATAAAACTAGATCCCAAAATAGGTATTTTGTCTCAGTATTCAGGCAGCATCTATATTTGAGTTTTACATTTGCCAGTTTGTACTTTATCCTATCTAGAAAAAAAAAAGAAAACAATTTGAGGAGTGCTTGGATAAGGCCTCGGGACCGTAGCATTGAGACCATATAATATGGTTAACTCAATATTATTCTTATCCTGGCCTACACCCAAAACTATGGATTTTCCTGCATGGCAGGGGGTTGGACTAGATGGCCCAAGTGGTCTCTTCCAACCCTATGATTCTATGAAAGTGGAAGCCCTATTAGAAGGGAGGAGCAAAGACACAAAGAAAGCCCTTAATGTGCATCAGTGCTCTGTGGTTTGTGTGATCACCATCCACAGGCTTCAGACTTGTTCTAGGATTTCCTGTGTAATCATTGTTCTGTTTCCTGTGTAATCATTGCTCCCAGTGAGACCACTTCCTTAAATACCAGTTTGACACAACATTAACTGGTCCATGGGTCAGCATGGCTGGCCAGTAGGGCTGCTGTCCTGCTTGCGTGGCAATAATGCAGCCTCAAATCGATATGTTTCATACTGATTGGAGCGGTATTACGTGCCTATGTAGAACTGCCCCTAGTTAATAGTCTGGTAGCAGTGCTTTGGACTGGTTGACATTTCTATATAGCCCCACATGGAATGTATACCAGTAATCCAAACAAGTTGTAACTAAGGTATATGTCACCTTGGCCAGATCTGACATCTCTAAGGGTGCATCTGCACTGTAGAAAGAATACAGTTTGACACCACTTTAATCACAATGGCACAACACTATGGAATCCTGGGAGTTGGAACAACTTTTGGCAGAGAAAGCTAAAGCCATCACAAAACTACAACTCCCCTGATTCCATAGCGTTGAGTTCACCTAAAATAGTGTCAAACTGTGTTGTCGAAGGCTTTCATGGCCAGAATCACTGGGTTGCTGTGAGTTTTCCAGGCTGTATGAGCATGTTCCAGAAGCATTTTCTCATGACGTTTCGCTCACATCTATGGCAGGCATCCTTAGAGGTTGTGAAGTCTGTTGGAAACTAGGCAAGCGGAGTTTATATATCTGTGGAATGCCCAGGGTGGGAGAAAGAACTCTTGTCTGCTTGAGGCCAGCTTGGCCACCTTGATTAGCACTGAATAGCCTTGCAGCTTCAAAGTCTGGCTGCTTCCTGGAGGAATCCTTTTATGGGAGGCATTAGCTGGCCCTGATTGTTTTGTGTTAGGAATTCCTCTGTTTTTAAGTGCTATTCTTTATTTACTGTACTGATTTTAGAGGGTTTTTTTAAAAGGCTTTTAAACAACTGGTTGCCAGATTTTGTTCATTTTCCTGGTTTCCTCAATTCTGTTGAAATTGTCCACATGCTTGTGGATTTCAATACCCTCTCTGTGTAGTCCGACATAGTGGTTGTTAGAATGGTCCAGCATTTCTCTGTTCTCAACCTGGCAGGAAGCAGCCAAACTTCAAAGCTGCAAGGCCAATCGATGCTAATCAAGGTGGCCAATTGCAGCAGTCACACTTGCTTAAGTGGCTGAAGGGGGAAAGGAAAGGTCCTGGGGCTGTTAGGAATTGTGGGAGTTGAAGCCCAAAACACCTGGAGGGCCCCAAGTTGGCCCATGCCTGCTGTAGATTTATTTTATTTATTAGGTTCTTGTGGGTTTTTTCGGGCTATAGAGCCATGTTCTAGAGGCATTTCTCCTGACGTTTCGCCTGCATCTATGGCAAGCATCCTCAGAGATAGTGAGGTCTGTAGGAATTAGGACAATGGGATCTGAAAGAGTGCCAGCCATTCCACAGATATATAAACCCATTGTCCTAATTCCAACAGACCTCACTACCTCTGAGGATGCTTGCCATAGATGCAGGCGAAACGTCAGGAGAAATGCCTCTAGAACATGGCTCTATAGCCCGAAAAAACCCACAAGAACCTAGTGATTCCAGCCATGAAAGCCTTCGACAATATATTTTATTTATTTATTTATTTATTTATTTATTTATTTACAGTATTTATATTCTGCCCTTTTCACCCCTCAGGGAACTCAGGGCGGATCACAATGCACATGTACATGACTCATGACAAACATTCAATGCCATAGACACACGACATATATAGACAGAGGCTATTTGACTTTCCAGTTTCATGATACTATGCTTTGAATTCTGGCCATGAGGGGGAGCTGTCTCTTCACTGTCCATTTGTGACACCAATGGAGTACTTCCTCATTCTTTGCAGGGTGCTGGAGATTTTTATGGTGTTGTAAATTAGTTAAATTAGCCTCCCTGCATAAGCGGTACCTAAATTTTCTACTTGACAGTTGCAAGTGTCTTTCGGGCTGCAAAGGTCGACAGCAAGCTAGACAAATGGCCAGGAGCTTACTCCGACCTGGGTTGGCTTCGAACTCTCTCACACACACAATACACACACACAAACACAGACAAACACGTACACTAGCGGTGCCCGGGTTATTTGAAAAAGGCATTGTTTGTCTGTGCTCCAAGTTTAATCTAGATCCAATGTTGGCTGGGTTCATTGTGTGCAGGTGAACTATAGCTCCCATATGTAAGCCCCCTCATCCATGGTCCATCTTCCTCCAAACTGCACCAAGATGTAGAATGGGTCATGGGGTCTCTGGATGCGAAGTTTGGTTTTGATCAGTCAATGGATGGGAGTCACAATGGTCTCAGGAAGTGAGTGAAGGTTCTGTGGGTCCCATCATCCATGGTCCATCCTCCTCCAAACAGCACCAGGATGTAGAGTGGGTCTTGGGGGCTCTGTGTGCCAAGTTTGGTCTTTATCGGTCATTGGATGTGGGTTGCAGTGCTCTCAAGAAATGAGTGAAAGTACTGTAAGTCCCATCATCCATGGTCCATTCTCCTCCAAACAGCACCAGGATGTGGAGTGGGTCTTGGGGGCTCTGTATGTCAAGTTTGGTCTTTATCGGTCATTGGATGAGGGTTGCAGTGCTCTCAGGAAATGAGTGAAGGTACTGCAAGTCCCATCATCCATGACCCATTCTCGTTCAAACCACAACAGGATGTTGAGTGGGTCATGGTGGCTCTTTGTGCCAAGTGTCGTCCTGATCCATCATTGAATGAGGGTCACAGTGGTCTCAGGATGTGAGTGAAGGTCCTTCAAGTCCCATCATCCATGGTCCATTCTCTTTCAAACCACAACAGGATATAGAGTGGGTCATGGTGGCTCTGTGTGCCAAGTGTAGTCCTGATCCATCATTGGATGAGGATCACAGTGGTCTCAGGAAGTTAGTAAAGGTACTGCAAGTCCCATCATCCATGGTCCATCCTCCTCGAAACTTCACCAGGATGTAGAGTGGGTCTTGGGGGCTCTGTGTGCCAAGTTTGGTCTTTATCAGTCATTGGATGTGGGTCACTGTGGTCACATGAAATGAGTGATGGTACTGCAAGTCCCATCATCCATGGTCCATTCTCTTTCAAACCACAACAGGATGTAGAGTGGGTCATGAGAACTTCCCACGACCCGGGCTGGCTTCGAACTCATATAATATATATGAGTTCAAAGCCAGCCCAGGTCGGAGTAAGCTCCCGGCCATTTGTCTAGCTTGCTGTTGACCTTTGCAGCCCGAAAGACAGTTGCAACTGTCAAGTAGGAAATTTAGGAAACAGATGATAGATAGATAGATAGATAGATAGATAGATAGATAGATAGATAGATAGATAGATAGATAGATAGATAGATGCCTCCATAGTGTAGACAGCCCCATAATGGAATCATAGCGCTGTAACTCTGTAGCATGAAAGGAGACTTTGTTGGGAAAGGACCTGAAAAAACATATTTCCGGGCGCTAGGATTGTCTGATTCAATGGTGTTACAATGTAGGCGGCTGATCAGCGACTTCTTCCCTTTCCAGGCGTATAATTACACAATCCCTTCTTCTCCTTTTTTTTTAATTTCCCACACAAAGCGGAAATATGTCCTCCTCCTCCTCCTCCTCCAGCGAGGGCAAAGAACACGAGCGGGTGGGTGGAAACGTCTCCCGGCTCCATTCCCAACGAGCCAATCACCGGCCGGCCCATGTTCTCGGGAGGGGAGTCTCCCGCCAACGCCCCCCTCGCTGTGCTGTGGTGACGCCGGCCGTGACGTCAACAATGGAACGTTACGGGAACCCTGCACAGGAGCCGGAACGAACCATTCTCACGGGAGGGGAGGGGAGACGAGGAAAAAAATATAACCCCAGCCTAGCCTCTCTTGCCGCTTCCTTACTCAAAACGGAGAAAGAAGGAAAGATTGCTTTGATTGCCTCTTTCAGCCCATGAAATAGCGATTGCCTATATCATTCCTTTCTCTCTCTATTTTTACTTCTCCTCCCCCCCTTCTTTGTATTTGGTTGCGTCAGAGCCGGCCGGGGGCGTGAGTTGCTCCCCTGATTTGTGCCGGGCACGCTTCTCCTTGCGGGATTCCCTTCCAGACAGGCAAGAAGCGTCTTCTCCGTCTCTCTCTCCTCTTAGAGTGATTGTTGTGTCTCTCTGTGTCTTCGGCCCTGGAAGGCGCCGGTCCGGCTCCGCTTGGCTCCCTCCTGCACCGCCCGAGGATGTATCAGAGCCCCGCTCGCTCCCTCTGCTCGGCCCTCTCCAGCCTCTGCTGCGCTCCAACGGCCACCACCTCCTCCTCCTCCACGAGGCTCCTGCGCTCCCCTGCGACCGTCAAGAGAGCCCTTTCCTCGCCCACGCGGCTCTCCTCTGCCTCCTCCGGCCTCCCTCGCAGCGTGTGCGCAGCCGCGGCCACTTCTCTCGCAGGTGAGTGCCCCTCCTTTCCGCGCCCAACGTTCTACCCTCGGAATGTTGGGGGTCTGAGTGTTCTCAACGCTTCCTTTTCCGGTCTAGTCGACCCAAAGCTAAAGGTGAGTCAAAAGCCTGCCGGCCCACGTTCCCTGGAGGTTGCTTTCTGCTTCTCAAGTGGACACCACTACAGGGAACAATGGGTTCAAATGTCCCTATGAGGAGCGGCTTAAGGAGCTGGGCATGTTTAGCCTGAAGAAGAGAAGGCTGAGAGGGGATATGATAGCCATGTATAAATATGTGAGAGGAAGCCACAGGGAGGAGGGAGCAAGCTTGTTTTCTGCTTCCCTGGAGACTAGGACGCGGAACAATGGCTTCAAACTACAAGAGAGGAGATTCCATCTGAACATGAGGAAGAACTTCCTGACTGTGAGAGCCGTTCAGCAGTGGAACTCTCTGCCCCGGAGTATGGTGGAGGCTCCTTCTTTGGAAGCTTTTAAACAGACGCTGGATGACCATCTGTCAGGGGTGATTTGAATGCAATATTCCTGCTTCTTGGCAGGGGGTTGGACTGGGTGGCCCATGAGGTCTCTTCCAACTCTATGATTCTAGGAGGAGAGAACATTAGGAAGAACTTCCTCACATTTAGAGCTGTTCAGCAGTGGAATAAGTTGCCCCTGATGGAGTCTGTAGAATGCAGAGGCTGGATGGCCATCTGTTAGGAGTGCTTTGATTGTGAACACACAATATATAATGTATATAATTTCCCGCTTTCTCTCTCTTTATGGAGAGATAATATATAATATGTGTGTGCGTATATATATCTATCTGCCAACCTAGCAGTTCGAAAACATGCAAATGTGAGTAGATCAATAGGTACCGCTCCGGCGGGAAGGTAACGGCGCTCCATGCAGTCATACCGGCCACATGACCTTGGAGGTGTCTACGGACAACGCTGGCTCTTCGGCTTAGAAATGGAGATGAGCACCACACCCCAGAGTCAGACATGACTGGACTTAATGTCAGGGGACTACCTATGTTGCTCAGATAAAATAGTCTTGTAGCATCTAACACAGGCATGGGCAAACTTGGGCCCTCCAAATGTTCTGGACTTCAACTCACACAATTCCTAACAACCGGTAGGTCCAAAACACCTGGAGGGCCCAAGTTTGCCAATGCCATCTATATAAATAAAAATGTAATGTTTCTTTGTGGGATTAACAGAACTCAAAAACCACTGGACAAATTGGCACCAAATTTGGACACAATACACCTAACAACCCAATGTATGTCCTTCACTCAAAAAATTGATTTTGTCATTTGGGAGTTGTAGTTGCTGGGATTTATAGTTCACCTACAATCAAAGAGCATTCTGAACCCCACCAACGATGGAATTGAACCAAACTTGGCACACAGAACTCCCATGACCAACAGAAAATATTGGAAGGGTTTGGTGGGCATTGACCTTAAATTTGAGAGTTGTAGTTCCAGAGAGCATCCAGAGAGCACTGTGGACTCAAACATTGATGGATCTGGACCAAACTTGGCACAAGCACTCAATACGCCCAAGTACGAACACAGATGGAGTTTGGGGGAAATAGACCTTGACATTTGGGAGTTGTAGGCACTGGGATTCACAGTTCACCTACAATCAAAGAGCGTTCTGAACCCCACAAATGACAGAATCAGGGCAAACTTCCCACACTGAACCCCCATGACAAACAGAAAATGCTTAAGGCCATCCAATCCAACTCCCTTCATCAGGGCAAGAAAACATAATCAAAGTCCTACTGATAAAGAGCCATCCAGCTATACATATAGATGGATGGATAGATAGATAGGCAGATAGATAGATATGATTAACACAGAGAGATATATAGTATCATAGATTTGAAAGGGACCCTTACAGAAGGACAATGATATGTTGCATGTTCCAGGGTGGGCAAACCAGACACTCTCCACATCAACACTTGGGCCCTCCAGGTGTTTTGGACTTCAGCTCCCACAATTCCTTACAGCCTCAGCTTAAGCGGCTGAGGGGGGAAAGGAAAGGGCCTGAAGCTGTTAGGAATGGTGGGAGTTGAAGTCCAAAACACCTGGAGGGCCCAAATTGGCCCATGCCTGATCTACACTGCAGAAATAATGCAGTTTGACATCACTATAGTTGCCATGCCCAGTGCTATGGAAGGTCTTCAGCCTTCTGTACACAAGAGTACTTGGCCTCACCAAACAACAGCTCCCATCATTCCATACCATTGAGCCAAAACAGTTAAAGTAGTGTCAAACTGCATTAATTCTACAGTGCAGATGCATCCTATTGTAGAGGGAGATGGATCAGGATATACATTGAGCTTATATGGGGAGGGCTCAAGGAGAACGGCATCCTTTTGTGACCCTTTCATTATCTTGTGGTGGTTGAGTTTCCATTCGACAGGTGGACATCTGAGGATGCGTTGGCTCAATGCTATGGAATCCACAGAGTTGTAGTTTGGTGAAGTATCAACACTTTTTGAAAGAAAGGGCTAGAGACTTTATAAAACTACAACTCTCATCTTCCATGGCATGGAGCCATCCCAGTTAAATTGAGGTCAAACTGCATTAGATCTACAATGTAGATGCACTCTATAACCTTTTTGTCCTGCTGAAAAGCAAACAAATATGTTGCTTTTTATTTTTGCTTTACCCAGTGACGTTATTCAGGATATATCATGTTCATGCAATGCAGAGAAAACATGTTGCATAATACCCAGAGGGGATAAATAAGTCATACCGGAGTTTTCCATGTCTTCCCTAACTTCTTTAGGAATGGGTTTGTGTAGATTGTGTTTCTGCTCTCCTGACCAGCATCACCTGTATCACCCTGAACATATCCAATCTCATTTGATTTGGGAAGCCAAGGAGAGTTAGGTATGGTTAGTATTTGGATCGGGAGCTGCAGAGAATACCAAGGGATTGCCAGAATGTATTAAGACAGGATATTTAGAAAGCTACTGCATTTATACTGTCAGTGTTGGGCTACAGGGACTAGTGACTCAATGGCCTTTTCAGTAGTTATAGACAAATAATCTTGACTTGGTCCCATCTCACACACACTCAAAACTATTGCTTCAAAATTAATGTATTGGCCGGGGGGGGGGGGGGGGGMCTGAATGAAGAGGCATGTTGTCTGACAATGTGAATAGAATCTGACCCCTATATTTGCAGGCATATGTTCCTGGATTTCACAAGGATATCATAGAGTCATGCAGGAAGACCTAGAAAATGCCTAGAGAGGGCATATTTTGTCAGAAGTGGATAAATAAAGAAATAGGTCTCATATCAATGGATATGGGGGGTTGGCATAAAAGAGAGAAGAACTGAAACCATTTGAATACTGTTGCATCTGCATTTCACTTATTCTAATTATTTGTCTTGCCCTTTTCAGTTGGTTTCTCTTTTTCAAAAAATAGGGTTTAATAGGTTATCAGATTTGATAGCCTTTACTGTAGCTTGTTATTCACAAAAATATTTTCAATAAATATTCACAACAATAATTACAACAATAGTCACAAAATATTCATAAAAATAACCATGAAACTATTCACAAATACATTCACAAAATATTCATGAAAATATTCACAAAAATAATCATAAAGCTATTCACAAAAATAACCACGAACCTATTCACAAAAATAATCACAAATATATTCACAAAAATAATCATGAAAATATTCACAAAACATATTTTTAAAAATAATTCAACAATATTTGCCAAAATATTCACAAAACTAATAATGAAACTATTTACAAAAATAATCATGAAACTGTATTGTCGAAGGCTTTCATGGCTGGAATCACTAGGTTCTTGTGGGTTTTTTCGGGCTATAGAGCCATGTTCTAGAGGCATTTCTCCTGACGTTTCGCCTGCATCTATGGCAAGCATCCTCAGAGGTATGAGGTCTGTTGGAATTAGGATCAGAAAACTCCTGGACCCTCCTAATTCCAACAGACCTCATACCTCTGAGGATGCTTGCCATAGATGCAGGCGAAACGTCAGGAGAAATGCCTCTAGAACATGGCTCTATAGCCCGAAAAAACCCACAAGAACCTAATCATGAAACTATTCACAAAAATATTGGCAAAAATATTCACAAAACATATTCACAAAAATAATCAAGAAAATATTCACAGAAATAATGAAATAACACCTGGAAGGCTGAAGTTTGCCCATGCCTGCCTTAGATAAAGTGAAATGTCCTCAAGCACCAGGAATAGTCCTTCCACAGTCATTCTTGTCTTTTGTCAGGCTGTAATTCACTGAATTTCTGCTTCTCCCTACTTTGAGAACTTTAAAAGCAATTCATAAAATGATATCTCATTCGAAAGGCTTTTTGTGCTACCTAGTATTGCATAAATAAATTCTAGTGAGTTCAGACAGGCCTATTCCCAATAAAGCACATGCAGAGGTGTAACTATGGAGAAGCAAAATGAGGGGTGTCCAGTTCAAGTAGACCAAATTGCCTGTGAATCATCCACGAAGAATACATCCATATATCTTTGTGCAGTGTTTAGTCTGAGTCAGTGGTTCATAGCCTTGTCTGGGACTTCAGCTCCCACAATCACTTGGGCAGTGTGAGATAGTAATTTGAGCATTGGACTACAACGCTGAAGACCAGGGTTTGAATCCCCACTCAGCTATGAAAACCCACAGGGTGACCTTGGGTTTTCTGAGACTCTGTCAGCACTGTTGAAATTTGGGCCAGTGTAATGTTAAGATGAGTGTGCAGTCTCAGAAAAGCAGCTAACACCCTATATTTGGCTTTTCATTATTGCTCTGGAAGAATTTTGATGGGATAGTCATTTCCCTGTAGCAATCCCCCTTTGCAGAATTTAAACTTGGAGTGAGTTGTTTTTTATGAAGTCTAGAACATACTGGAGACAATATGGCTGCTTGGAGCTAAGTCCTTTCATGGTAATTTGACTCATATCTCAGCACAAAGGCAAGAGATCAAATTATTCTCGGGATTTGCCTTTATTGT